TCTATATTTCTATCGTTATGTTCGTCTGTTGAGCATGAATGGGGATTTGATGATGTAGTAGCGTGTGTTTTTCGGGCTCTGTCTAATTTTCCTACATTCTCGTTCCTGCATTAACAATTCTCAGCTATCTTTTGCCTTAATGTCCATGCAGCTTGCGATTGTTATCTTTCTATTGACACGCTACGTGTTATAATAACTGGCTAACACATTCCGCATAATACCCATCTTTGTCGCTCAAAGAATTATACGTATTCCCTTTTTATTTGTCCCAAAAAGATTTACATTTAAATAATAGGCAAAAGAGTTTCATGTATCTAAGTGTTTTAATAGGTAACTAATATTGTCTTCCGTTCGCCTGATCTCATCTGATTTTTTAAAGTTCTGATCTGTTCTGGTTTGATCTGATTAGATCTGATATGAGCTAATCTGATCTGGCCTATCTGATATGATTGAATTTGATCTGATATAAATTTGATTAAAATTAAAATTATTATTAAAATAGTTATAATAATATAAATATTAATAATAAATGTAATACTAATAATAGAAATAATAACAACAACAATAGTAATAAGAATAATAATAATAATAATAATAGTATTAATATAATAATAATAATAATATCAATAATAATATTAGTAACATTGATAATAATAATAATAGTGATAATAATATTAATAATAATAGTAATAATTATAGTAACAATAGTAATAATAATTATAGTCATAACAATAATAGTAGTAGTAATAGTAATGATGGAAACCGATTTTTCGGGGCGTCGACTTGACCAACTCGGTACCAGATCGGTGCCGCACCGAGTAGCAAAATTCAGAAAACAAATAAATGAATAAAGCGGAGAGAAAACATTTATACGTGGAAACCCAAATCGGGAGAAAACTACGGGCCTTTTTAGGTGGTGTCATGCCAAGGGGAGAAACTTTTATTAATCTCGGGGGAATTTACATATACATCATTGTAGGAATTTGGAGCCATGAATGGATCTCCAAGCTTAAAAAACAATAAGAAGGAAGAATAGTAATATGATCTTGTCCAATGTAGAAATTGGCCTCTCCCTTCTCCTCTCCGTAGCTTCTTCTTATATTAGGAGAAATGAATGAGGTAGTGGAAGACAAGGGATTATGTCTGGGTCCCGCCAAATATATCTTTGGGCCCTTGTCAATATTTATATATCTCATCAAATTATCTTCTTCGTCTTCATATATGCTCCGTTTTGAATAAAAAATCTTATTTATATCTTGGGCCAGATAAATTTGGGCTTATTTGTACTATTCAAATGATATTGGGTTAGGTAAAATCCTTAATCCATCACATCCCCCTAGTTTTGAATTTGTCTCAGGGAACGAGACAGGTTTAGAAACTATATGACTCGGTGGGTTGCCTCTTGGGATAGAACTTTCCTCGGTGCCTCGGGAAGAGGACTTTCTTTTTTGAAGGGTCTCGTTACCTCATGGGTAAGGATTTAACTTGGTTACGTTCCTCTCAAAAGAGGACTTTTCTCGAGGATTTGTACCTCTTGGAAGAATACTTTTCTTTTTTTTTGGGCCTCTTAGAAGAGGGGTTTTTCGGGATTTGGTGCCTTTTGAAAAAGGACTTTTCTCAGGGATTTGTGCCTCTTGGAAGAGAACTTTGTTTGGACTTAATACCTCTTAGAAGAGGACTTTCTCGGGACTTGGTGCTCTTGGAAGATGACTTTCTCAGGACTTGGTACCTATTGGAAGAGGTCTTTTCTCGGAGATTTGGGCCTCTTGGAAGAGGACTTTCTTGGGACTTTTGTGCTTCTTTGGAAGATGACTTTCTCGGGACTTTGTGCCTTTTTGGAAGAGGACCTTTCTTTTTTTAGTGCCCCGAGAAGAGGACTTGGTGCCTCGGGGAAGAGGACTTTCTTTAGACTCGCTTTTCAATATTCTTTGGGAGCCTCTAAACTGCAACCCGATATCTATCTCACGGTGGTTGGCGCTCTGATCTTATTGAAGGATAGACATTCCCCGCCTATCTCTCTTTCTAACTCTTTTCTCTATCTTGGTACAAGTGTCTATGACTATCTCCAGTAATCCGATCATCTAATTCTGACAGAATTACAGATCTCTACTCTCTACTTTTCTACGGTATTACTTTTCTCAACTTGTACAACTCATCTATTGTATTTCTTGTAGATGGGACTCGCAGGACAAGGGTTGAACATGCTTGTTGGACCACGATGGAGCTCGACGTAAGGCGTGGCTCGGGGGTAGACGGAGAGTCTCTAGATAGTGGACGTTGGACGGCTCACTGGACTCCTTGGTTCCCTAGAGCACGAAGGATCTCTGGACAGTGGACGACGAACATCTCACTGCACTCCCTTGCTCCCTAGAGGACGGAGGAACTCTCAACAGTGGACAGCTCGTTGGACTCCCTTGCTCCTCAGAGGATAGAGGATTTCTAGATAGTGGACAACAAACATCTCATTCGACTGCTCACTCGACTCCCCTGCTCCTTAGAGGACGCAGTGTAACGCCCCAAAAATAGGCATATTAGAATTAATTAATTAATGATTAATTAATTACTAAGAAGGATCCAAAAATAAGTGAATAATAAAGTTTGTCAATGATTAATGAAAATTATATCGTTGTGTAGAGTTTGACTGTCTGACCCCAACGGTTCAATCAGATTTCGATTTGGAGAAAGTTGGACCAAAAAGTGTAACCCGTCTAGGACAAAAATTAGTCCCAATCAGGGACATGCGTTTAAAACTCGTAGAAGATCACCGTTTGCTCCACTCATCCGCTGGAACAGGGAACAAGGACATCACCCATGGCTTCTTCTACCAGCCCGCTACTATAAAACCCCCCAATTATCCACCATTCTTCATCATTCTTATCCTAATAGAAAGAGTTGAGTGTGCGGAGCATTGTAGTACTACCAATTTGGTGTGAAGTCACCGGAGCAAGCTGTGGTGTTCGCCGGAAGTTTCACCGTCTTTTCACCGGAATCATCATTTAGCATTAAGGTAAGCCCGTAGATATATGTAATGACTAGAATGTTCATATATATCGTTTCTACGCTCATAAATGGTCATTTGGTTGAGTTTGTGTTTGACATGCTTAAAGAAACCAAGAATCATAAACCTTGAAATTGTTGTTAAAACTTCGAATTAATGGTATTTAAATAATTTATGAACATTGGAGAACATTTCTATATTGTTTAATTGAAGATTGGTGGCTTAAAATGATGTTTCAAAAATTAAACCCGAGGTTGAAGACGAAGTACTGTTGCTGGTATACAGCAGCGGTCGACCATTCTATCACCACGGTCTACCGTTAAAGGACCGGAAGCTTTGTTTCCACGGTAGTAATGACGGTCGACCATCGCCTGAAAACGGTCGACCGTTCCGAAGACAGACACCTACGAAAAATGCTATTTTTGAGTTCTAAAATCCTATTTTTGATACCAATTAATTATGAACAATATAAATATGATTTTGTACAATAAAAATGATGTTTTGACATATAAAACATTATGTGATACATGACGGTAAGTTCGGGTGTTAACACTCGAGACTAGGACGCTATTTGTTATTAAATGTTATTTTGAATGATCATTATGATAAATAATTATTATGGATAATTATGAATGGTAAACCTACAGATTAGAATGATTATTGCTGATTAAATGATGATTAAAAATGAATAAAATGGTGATTATGAAAACAGTGTATATTGTTAAGGATATCTAGAAAAACTCTAAGATATATCCACTTGTATATTGATGATGATTATTAAGGATATCTAGAAGAACTCTAAGATATACCTCCTTGACCAATTCATATTTCGGGGTTAAAATGTACGTACGGGATCCAGAATGGATATCATCCACCCGACAAATCACTGTTCGGTTGGTACGTAATCTACATGACTCATAGGGTGGATTATCGATTCTTATGTTCTGCATTAAACTATTTATAGTTTAAGGGCTTGGTGAGAGATATTGCCTTAGACTAGGAATAGCTAAGAGCTGAATATAAAATGATGTGGCCTTAGATTAAGAATAATTTAAGAGCATTATTGAGATATTGAATATCAAATGACTTAGAATAAATTAATGAGAATATCATGAATACTTGAATCATACATTGTGTGTATGATATCAAATGGTTGATTATGAATTGAGATTCAATTTACGTGGATGTTCGACGCTTTAGATATGCTTACTCGGCTTCACCGCTGAGCGTGTAGTGTATTTTATTTGCTACACGCAGGTAAACAAAATGAATGAAGGGATGATTCCTGGAGGCAGACGAGAACGAGATGATTGGGGTGGATGTGTGAAATGAATTGATGTTTTAAAAGACATAAAATTATTGTGTTTTGTAATTATTATATATTCAGCTTCCGCAACATTAAACTACTCCGTTTTTACCTTGGATATTTTATTATTGAATAAAGTTTTTAAATGTTTGAAACATTTTGAATGTTTACGAATACCAAATTTATACTTTAGTCTGAAAGGGGTTGCAGACCTGGTTGGATTAGGGTGTTACACGCAGGAACTCTAGACAGTGGATGGCGGATGCTTGTTGGACTTCTTTGATCCTTAGAAGACAGAGGATTTTTGGATAGTGGACAACAGACTGCCCACTTGACTTCCTTCCTCCCTCGAGGGCGGAAGATTTATGGACAGTGGACAACAGACAGCTCACTGGACTCCCTTGCTCCTTAGAGGACAGGGGATCTCTAGACAGTGAACGACGGATACCTCACTGGACTCCCTTGCTACTTGGAGGACAGAGGATCTCTGGACGGTGGACAAGGGACACCTCATTGGACTCCCTTACTTCTTAGAGGGCTGAGGATCTCTGAACAGTGGACATCGGACCACTTGAGGCTGAGATCGTTCCTTTGAGGGCCCTATGAAGCTTGAAAGGACCACTTGAGGCTACCGTTGTCCATTATATGGATCCTAGAAGTTCTCACAGTCCACTTGAGGCCGGCGTTGTCCATTTGAGGGACCCACAAAGCTGGAATGGACCTCTTGAGGTTATGGCTGTCCCTTGGAGGGATACTTGAAGCTTGAACGGATCTCTTGAGGCTAGCGTCATCCCTTAGATGGATCCTAGAAAATGGAACGGTCCAATTGAGGCCGGCGCCTTCCATTTGAGGGACCCATTATGCTAGACAAGACCTCTCAAGGTTAGCGCCGTCCCTTGGAGGAATACTTAAAGCTAGAACGGACCTGTTGAAGCTAGCTCCGTCCCTTGGATGGATCCTAGAAAATGGAATGGTCCACTTTAGACAAGTGTCGTCCATTTGAGGGACCCATGAAGCTAGAACAGACCTCTTGACACCGGTGACGTCCATTTGAGGGACCCATGAAGCTGGAATGGACCTCTTAAGGCTAACGCTGTCCCTTGGAGGGATACTTGAAGATAGAATGGATTTCTTGAGACTCATGTCCCTTTGATGGATCCTGGAAAATGGAACGGTCACAAGATTTCCCTTAGCCACTTGTGGCTAGACTTGTAGACTTTAAAGTTAAGCAAGAACATGAAAATTTTAGGTTTAAGGCTAGACTTGTGGCTAAGGGATTTACTCAAAAAGAGGGAATAAATTATGTAGAAATTTTTTCTCCTGTTGTCAAGTTCACCACAATTAGGTTTAAGGCTAGACTTGTGGCTAAGGGATTTACTATTGCTTTCTTGCATGGTGATCTTGACCAAAATATTTGTATCCACCAACGTGAAGGATTTGTTAATCCTAAGTTGCCTAATCATGCGTGTTTGTTGAAAAAAGCTTTGTATAGTTTAAAACAATCTCCTAGGCAATGGAACATTAAATTTAATAATTGCATGAAAAACTTTGTTTTTAAGAGAAGTAATTCTGATCATTGCTTGTATTTTAAAATCACTTTTGTTGGAACACACTTTATATTGCGTTAAACTAAAGTCGTGTTCATTTCGGACAGGTTTTGATAATTGCCAAACCGCCGTGGATAGGTATAGTTTCGTTGAACAACTCAAGGCGTGAAGAATGGCAGGGAACAAGACTAAGAGACTCAAGGACAAGATCAATAATTGAAGACTTAGTCGAGTCGGTCTTATTGTGACAAACCGACAATCAATTCAAGTCTCGGTTCTCAAATAGTCAAAATAATTTTAAAAAATCATAAAATGTTTTTATGCATCAAATAAACGTTTTTAATAAGGTTTTTAATGTATTAAAATCCTTGCTCCTTGCCCAGACCAAAACCACTTCGGTCGGCGTCCTGCTTTCAGCATTCGGTTTTCGGCGTCCGAACCAACTTGGTGGTTTTCAATTTTTTAAACCTCATTTTTACCTCTGGGCATATTTTAAAGGCTCCCAAACAAATATTTTATAAAAACCACTTTTGTATTTTGGTCAATCGGTCTAACACGTGAAAAACGGTCAAAACTGCCCACACGTGACAAATGACCTCGAAGATTTGGTTTTTATCAAATAAGTTTTGGTTTCACTATTTTATACCATACAATGTTTTTCAACCTTATTTTTTACCCTTGGGAACACTTGGTTTTTTTGGACCTCGGTTTTTCGGGTTAAGTTTTCGCAGTGATGGTTTTGACCAGCTGATACTCGATTGTCATGTTGCAACAATCGACTGTTGGCTGCTTCGATTTCTGAACAGTAAGTTCAGAACCATCCAATAATCGATTGACACTTATTGTCACTCGAGTACTGTGTTTTTCTACAAAACCAGAATTTTCAAAGAGGTCTGATAGTCGAGTGACAGTTCTTGACAATCGACTATCAGTGTTACCGTTGCTCTCCAACGGATAGAATTTTAATTTTTTGGATACAGAATCTTTTGATAATCAATTATCATGGTTAGACAATTGATTATCAGTCTGTAACTCTGAAAATTTTGTCATAATCCTGTTTATCCCATTTTGGGTTATAAAATGGCACCCAAATCCTCTCATTTTACACACTATTCTTCAACATTTCAACACTTTCATTGCATAAGCATTCCTTATTTTTCTTAGCTTTTTGAGAGCCAATTCTTGAAGAAATTGTCGTGTTCTTGAGCGTTTACTAGTTCAATCATATCTACTCTTTGTGAAAGTTTTATTCCTGAGTGTTTAAGTGTTTTTACACACTTGAAGGGAGGTTGTTCCCTTGTTGTAAACTCGAAGGAAGTTTTTGTTCCTTCTTGAGAGGTTTTGAGTGCGGTATCTCCAAGCAAAGGCGTTGAGGCTCGTGTGACTAGAGTTCTCAAGTTGTATCGGTTTGTTGAGCACCTTTAAGCTTAACGGAGTTAGTGTAGCTCGAGAGAGTCTCTCAGGAGGCTGGATTAGCCACACGTTATGGTGAACCAGGATAAAATTCGGTGTGCTCCTTCATTACGCTCTTTACTTTAACGTTCTCGTTTTTAATTCCTGCGATTTTGTTTTAAACGCTATTTACTCCCCCTCTAGCGTTGGGCCTTTATTTTAACAACTTTCTTTGTTCTTTTTTTCTTGTCCTCTATGTGGATGACATGCTAATCATTAGTCCTAGGCCTTTGCCTTTGAAAGAAGAAGCTGCTACAGACAGAATAGGCTACTCTCGGCTGCCAATGAGGCATCCCTTCGGGGTCTGCTCTTACCCCTCAAACTTCCGTCAAGTGGTTGTTTCTTATTCGGCCTTAAGAGTGAGTGTAGTTCACCAGAAACGAGATGATGTCGCGATCAGATCTATGATGGAACCTAGTTATATATGCATTGTACATTGGACTTCTATCTCCAGTCAATCCCCGGAAGCTGAATGAAATTCGTTCCCCAAGTCTATTGAGCATGTTCAAAATTATCTTTGTAAAAATTTTGACATGAAAGATTTAGGAGATGCTTGAAAAATACTTGGCATGAATATTGTTAGGGACAGAAACAAATCTACTCTTATTTTAAATCAAAATTCCTAGATTGATAAGATTTTGAGTAAATTTGCTATGTCTGATGCTAAACCTGTGGACGTTCCTTTAAGTGCTCACTTTGTGTTGAGTAAAGATATGTGCCGTAAAACTAAAGCTGAAATTAATGAAATGAAAAGTGTGCCTTATTCGAATTCTATTGGTTCTGTGATGTATTTTATAATTAGCACTAGGCTTAATATTGCTTATGCTGTTAGTTTTTTGAGTAGATAATGTCTAATCCTGGTATGACTCATTGGATTGCTTTAAAATGGCTTTTGAGATACTTGAAATCTACTAGGAATTTGATAAGAATGTGATTCTGTTTTCTGATAGCCAATCTGCCATTCAACTATGCAAAAATCCTATTTTTTTCATAATAGAACAAAACATATTGATGTTAGATTCCATTTTATTAGAGACATAGTTGATGTAATACCTCAACCCGCACAACCTAAATAAATAGGTTAGCGAACCAAGTTGCTACTAGATTGGTATGCACACACAATATTTTTCCAAGAAATAAAACATTTAATTTAACTTAACAATTTAAATACATATCGGAGTTTATACAAATAGTGCGGAAGCTTTATAATTTAATTAAAAATTCTTAAATCCCTACATTCGTACATCTCCTCCATCATGCTGCCCTCCATGATGTATTCCATGGCTAGCCCCTCCATGATTACCTATGTGTAACAAGGGGAAAAAGATGCTACACACTTAGCAATGAAGCCGAGTGAGAAATATCTAACAGTTTGAACATACACATAGGCAAATCCACTAATTCATAATCATATCATGATATCATGCACATAGGTTTAATATCATGCAAATTACCTAAATAGTTCATTACATAATTTACCTAGCACATGCTCTTTTTCTATTCTCATCAAATCGGAATGTTTATTGCAGTGGTGGATCACCATTTATCTATACTCGTACTCTACCCTAGACTAAGGGCTTTATACTTTTCTTGAAATCATGATTATTCCCATTGGATCTGCGGGTCATGCTCAACCAACGAAGGAGTTCTCTGTTGGGTGGGTGGAATCCTCACCTGATGGATCACCAAGTAATTCAAGGAGACCCACACGTACATCTTTAATTACCCGGTTTAATTAACCATTAGAGCCCAGCATGCATCCACCTGGTTTAGACTCTTACTTTCATAATACCAGTACTTAAGTCAGTCCTAGAGTTCCTCTAGGTAGACTTACCTTGGCTCATGGGGTTGGATCAACACCTAGATAATCTGTGTTTTGCTTGTTGGATAAACTCGATCTTATCATTGGATTCAAGGTTGGGTCACCATAATAATATCAGTTCACATAAGTGTTGGATCAACACAGAGCAGTCAAAATCATAACACGTAACGACCTAGTATTAGGTATTGGCACCCAAACTTACCGTCATACAACACAAAAGGCCTCGGAATCAATCTTTGACAAAAACACATATCGACAAACCCGACATCAGGTACGAGACAGTACCCTTCACGATACGGGGTACCGTTCGTACGGTACCTGGGTGCCGGTCCTACGGTATTGGGGTACTGTCCATACTAACTGAACCCTTCTGGTAGGACTACCACGATAGTCGACTACTCACTAGGCGGTAGGGCCTATCGTACGGTCACAGCTACCAGCAGAGGCGAAAGGAACCAATAGAGTGTGAAGGTAGCCCGGTACCGTCCCGGCGGTACTGCCTGCCATGTGATGCAACAATTTCCAACTTTGCACCTGTTTTGTTTTTCAACATCAAACCCACATTTAAACATTGAAAAATCCATGTGGATATGTTCTTAACTCTATTCCAAACCTGACTAAATTCATCCGTCAATGAATCCAAACAAAACATAACAATTCATCAAACATATACTCAATAATCAATTAATGCCTAAATCATGCGTTCTACTCTTTTCAATCAATATAATCCTCGGAACAACAATCAAGCAACTCAATGAAGTATTTCGCACATATCAATCATGATAACAATTATGAATGAAATTTCAAACCTAGATGCATGTTCTGGTGTTAGATGTCCACATACTCACCTCGATTCGTTTCAATTCAATCAAATGTAGATCGAGCATCGACGTAGGTCGTGCTACTGCTGCCCGATTTCACCATTACCGCTGCCCAAGGTTGCCACTAGCATCGCCGCTGCTCCCGAGCATGCTGTCCGCTGCTGAAAGGATATTCCTGCTGCCCGAACTTTGTCAGCTGTTGCCCAAACCTCGTTGGGTCACCAGAGAAGGAGATTGCGAGGAAATGAAAACCATCGGACGTGAACTGTTGGCCCCGTCCTGGCTGATGTTTGAGTTCGTCGCCAGAATCGGGTCTGACCCGCTGCCGCTGTGTGCTGGATTGAAAATTGAGAGGGAATCGTCAGAAAAACCGCATCGGGTCTGTTCGCCGCCGTGTCCCAGCACCGTCGTCGCCAGGGTTCTGGTTCGTCGCCCACGGTTGTGCTGCTCCTAGACCGGGTTAAAAACACATTTTTTGGGCCAACTTGTTCCAAAATGAGATCCGTTCGCACCGTTGGGTTCGATTCGTCAATCCCTGCCCAACGATATAACTTTTATCATTTATTGACAAACATTTATAAGTTCCACCTAGTATATCTTAATTCATTCGATTGATTAGTACCGATCAGTCTTATTATTTAAATCTTTACAAATATACTCAGACTAGTCTCGTTATACTAAGACAATTAGAATCTCTAAAGTATCTTTTAGTTCTTTAAAAGAATAGATTGTTGTAAATTAATAATTCTTATTTATTTAATTATTGATTAACTTCTAACATAGTTTTTAGGGCATTACCGTTTAAAAGGGCATTGTCATGTTGGAGAAAATTCCTACGAAGTCTAATCCAGCTGACATGGGTACTAAATGTTTACCTGTTGAAAAATTTACCTTATGTCAAAAGATCTTAAACCTATCTTTGTGATTGTGTGTTGTTCTTTTGTTCTTTTCTATCTTTGTGACTTTTGCTTTTCTTTTGTGTTTTGAACTCGATGACCTAATGGTAGAGTTTGACTCTTCGTGAGTTATTTTTAGCATGCTTTGTGATGTTCCCTAGTCTTTGTGACTTGAGAGTACTTTGTGAACTCTCCACCACTACGTGTGTTCTCATTTGTTGATTACATATTTAGTGGTTATTAGGCTATGATGAGTCCCGCTGTTTCTTGTCAACTATATACACTACTTTGGGCCAAAGGTGGAGACTGATACTTTATTTGGGGTTAGCCCAAACATAATAATAATTTGACATCCAACCCAGCAACCCATTTACTCAAGCCCATCCCATATTCCTAACCTAATTAAGCTTGTCTTAATTATCACCCTAATCTCTACTATATATAGAGTGGTTGTGTGCTTGTGTTTAACCATACAAAAAACTCCTCTTTGTGAGTCCTCTGTGTGGTATTTTCTTCCTTTGTGTGTTCATCTCTGTTCTTCTCCATTTTTTTGTGAGTGGAGTGTGACAAGGTTGAGTTGGAGTGTTGCTCCTTTTGGTTTTATAGTAGTGCACAATTATGGACCAGATTTATGCAAGACCTGAGCCTAATTGAAATAAAAAAAATACACATAACATTCTTCATTTTTGCTTCTAGTCAAATCCCCTTCCAACACCAATTAGATCTCATTCTTCATTCAGTGTTTGGCTTGTTCTCTTGGTGTGATGAATCTAGTGAGATCTTCTTACAACACCAGTCGAATCACGTTCTATGTTCATCATTGCCTTCGGCATTCCCTTTAACGCCTCATTTTTTCTTGCTGCATAGCTACCACTAGAATAAGTAGCAAGTTGATGGTGGTGGGTGTGAGTAATTGGAACGAGAGAAAAAGAATGAAGGTGTAGTACGACTAAATTTTAAAAGAGGGGTAAAAAAAGATAATATAAGACGTAAAATTTTACAAAAAGAGAAAAAATGACAAAAAGAGCAGGACAAACTAAAATGGAATACCAGACAAATAGTGGGATAAAGGGCGGAGTTATAATGCAATTTGATTTTCTTTTTTGCACCTTAAAACACAACTTTCTTTTCCAAATCTCAAGTAAAATATACATAAGTATTAGAACCAAAACAAACCTCCCCAACCATTACATCACTTTTCTATATACAGTAACTATGTATATAATATTGTGCAAAATTTTCAACCTTTTCCCCTATACATCCCTTTTGATATATATCATTTTATTTATTGCTCTCCAAATTCTATAAATGCAAACTATCCAAAATAGCAAGGATCTTCAATTTCCTCATTCTCTCCTCGATTTTCTATAGAATGCCTTCTAGCTCCTACATACTAGTCATCATGAGTTGAATATCAAATCTGCCAAAACTAATATTGTAAATATTTTGTGCGAAAGCACATTCCTAGTACAGATGCCTATATGCACTCTAATTTTTCAATAAAAATATGTAATATGACAAAAGATTTAATTATTTTAAGAAACTTCACGAAAAAATGAAAAATACTTTGTGCAGAAAACAGAACAAAATAATTCTACCTCATCATTCCATTTTTTCCGTTCGTTGGATAACCATGACCCAAAAACGTGCAACTATTTGAAAAGATTACATTAATTCACTTAATATCTAAAGAAGATTTTTTTTGACAAATGATGAAAAATGAGAATATTTGAAATAATTTTTAACACTGTGTTTTGTTCAAGAATTTAGGAAGGAAGTAAAAGAAATTAATTTTTTCTCATTTTCACACCAAAATAGAGGAAATTTATTTTTCTTCTTTTAAGAGCATATTCTCTTTGACTTATTTTTATTGAGATCAGATCAAATCAGAAATAATTTTAAGTATAACTTTAATAATATGAGACTTGACCAAATTCAATCTGAGCAGAACTTAATAAAATCAGACGACTAAAACACACTCTTAACTCTTAGTTCATTTTATCTTCTCATTTTTTCTTTTTTTTCCCTGCTAACCAAAAGAAAGATTATTTTCAACTTATTTTCTTTTCTTCCTCTTTTCAAATTTTTTGAATTAGAAAAAAGAAATGACACGCGTGGAAAGGAGTGCCCCAGCACTGGACGTGCCCATAGCCCCTCCTGTCCAAACTTATCTGCAATCATCTTCTCACTCTTCATTTCTCGCGGCTGTGTATATTTGAATCCATGGCTTCTCAAAAACTGGTCCGGTTCGTCGGCTTGGATGATATCACCTTGGAATTGGCTTCTTCTCTTCTCAGTTCCGGCTATTCCATTGAAGCATGCGAGGTCTGTCTTCTTTTGTTCATTTTCTTCCCCAGTTTTTTCCCTTACCCTCCACAGTCTTTAGTTCGTCATTTCTTGTTGTTAGGAATAAAATATTGTGAGTTCTGAACTATCTCAACTGAAATCTCAAGCGGATAGTTGGATGCAACATTTATTATTCATTTTTATGTAGTTTTTGTTCTTTTCTTTGAATTGTGGGCTAGGGATCTTGTCATTTCGCCAGAGTTATCTCAATTCAGATATCATGAAATTAAGTAGCGGATCTTAATGTCTTACATGTAAAGAAACTTCCCCCGAAACGAATTTGGATTAGTAAACCAAACATTTTAATGAACATTGAGAATCTGAGATTAAGTAAAGATTATTCTTACTCATCTTAACTGAAATTTGATTTGACTGATAATTTTGTCAGTTTACAGCAGCGGGCATTTTTTTGTTACAAGCACTGAGTTTTTGGGAAGTGTTTCACTGACTATGACTTTGAGAAAGAATTGCATCAAAATACTACTACTCTATTGTATGAGATCAAACACTTATTTAAATCTTCCTAAACGAAAAAAAAAAGACTGAATTCTCAGTGTATTATTTACATTTCTTGAGGCTGGTATACTAATAGTTTGGAGACACTGAACAACAACCCGGTGAAAGTGGGGTCTTGGGTTGGATGTACATAGACCCATAGTTTTGAAAGGCGAGACGACCTTTTTTAAGGGGAGAGGCTGGCGATCAAAGACGAACATGGGGTGTTATATATACATATGTCATAGTTTCAGGAGGGAGTAGTAAAATTCAAAAAAACTGAGAACAAAAAAGAAAAAGGGACTGGGCAAACAAAAAACAGCACTGAAGATAAAAAAACCAAATGGACTAGGAAGCAAGAAGGAAGACTAGATGGCGATGCAAAGAAAACATTGGGAAAGCATAGATGAGAAGAAAATAAACGCTGCTCGTGTGAAGAAAAAATACTGCTAAAGACGATGAAGAAGAAGCTACGCGGTGAACCTGGTGAGAACGACACAGAAGAGATGCAATGAGTCGTAGATCAGTCGCGGGTGCCGGGAAGTTACAGAGCACTCCTGGATGCCAAACTGCCAATCATACTTCTTCATTTTCCAGATGTGATATGCAGACAAGAGGCGCGGTTTGATGCTTTGGTCTCTGGGCAGATTATTGAAGGCGAGGAAGGTGATTGCCTCAGGCAGTGAATGAGGCGAGGAAGGCGACCACCCGAGGCGCGTGTGACAGATGTGTCCTCGCCTGGCTCACTTGATGCGATAAAGGCTCGCCCGGTCGCCTGATTCACCTTTAGGCGAGGGGGGTGACTGCCTTTCAAAACTATGCGTAGACCTTAACCCTATGTACAAAGAAGGTAGTTTTTTCTAAGACACTCAGCTCAAGAACAAAGACTTTGAAGACAGAAAAGTCATTTGATATTCAATGCCTGGGTATATACAAGTATACAACTAGAAAATGCTAAGTTGCCTACTTTATACAGGCAGGCAGCATTCAGAAACCCATATTGCTCAACAGTCTAACCATATAGACTTCAGATTTCTTTTCCATGTGATATTCTTAAGAGATGGACCTCTTTTGACAATATATAGAATTACAGTATGTCAGTATCCAAATTCAACTAATTTGTGTTAATGTCTGTTAGAGAACCTTGATGTGCATCATTTTTGTAATGTTAAGTATGGTTATCTTCTGGATTTATTTGACCTCATTTGTACTCAATATGGTTTTATGATAGGCATTCAGTCCTTTAATCGATAAGTTCGCAAAACTGGGTGGTAAAGTGTGTGACAGCCCAACTGTGGCAGGGGCAGGTGACATGCACTGATTTTGTTTATGCATTTACATACATGCGCGCGCACACACACAACTACACAATACTGCAGATTTGTTGGTTTCTGAATTCATCCTACACTTTAGAAAGCAAAAGAGGAAACCTTCATATTTACCAAAAAATCAAAATCATTGGCTTCTATGTTCACGTGTGACGAGGACGTAGTAATAACTATATATCTTCCACTATTTTGTCATTTTTCTGAATGTAGGAGTAGCTGCTTTGGTCATATTGTTAGCTCATGGTGATCAAGTC